ATGTGAATGTATAATGAAGACATTTTCAGATATACAAGCTCTCAAAAATTTTACCTCCTGAAGTTTCTTGATAATGTGTTTTATCAAATGAAAAATAAAAATAAGCTAAGATATATATATATATATATGTGTGTATATATATATATATATATACACACACACACACACACACACACACACACACACACACACACACCCTGGGGGAGGGGTCCCTCAGCCAGGCCTGTGCCCTCTCCCAGTCCAGGACCCCTTGGGGAATGTCCGTCTGCTGGCTTAGGCCTGCTCCCCTAGCAGCCCTGAACACCAATCAGAAGCAGGGAGCAGAGGCATCTCGATTAAGTGTCTGAAGCCTGTCTGGAGGAGGAGTGCCCTGAGATGCTCAGAGTGATCACCTACTATCAGGACTGAGTGTTCACAGCTTCTTATGTTCTACTCACCAGCGCTGAGCAGGAGAAGGGCCAAGGCACCTTGAGGAAAGGGGACATGAAAGAGTAGATGACCTACTGAAAGAGGAGGGTTTGGAGGAATGGTATTCCTCAGAATCCTACTTAACCCACTAAAACTACTCTCAAAGCTCTGGGTTCAGGACAAGAATGGGCACAGAGAGGGACATTGTCAGCCCACTCCTGAGTATCATGAAAGGGACCTAAGTTTAATTTATGATCTTATCTTGAGCTCCCCAGGGAGAAAACAAGAAAGTGGCCTGGATAAAGCACGTGGTCCTTTAATTCTCTCTCACATTAGTATTTTTAATTACATTATGTTGGGTGGGAAGTATATGGAATGTTGTCTTTGATATTTAGTAATGGAAGAAAAATCAAATAACTCAGAAGGAAATAAACCAGCCAGTGGTATTTAAACACATACACACACACACACACACACACACACACCAACAAGTTAGAACAAATAATGAAAAACATGTCACAGGAGAACATTTTCTTTTTCTTTTTTTTATAAAATATATTTTATTGACTTTTTACAGAGAGGAAGAGAGAGGAATAGAGAGTTAGAAACATCAATGAGAGAGAATCATCGATCAGCTGCCTCTTGCACACCCCTTACTGGGGATGTGCCCACAACCAAGGTACATGTCCTTGACCAGAATCGAACCTGGAACCTTTCAGTCTGCAGGCTGAGGCTCCATCTACTGAGCCAAACCGGTTTCAGCAACATTTTCATATCAATGAAGAAACCAGAAGTCCACATGAATAGCCCGAGGCTGAGGCAGATTACAATGGGAGATGTCACCCCACTTATGATAAGCAGGGCAAACTTGGACCAGAGGAAGGAAACCTCAAAAGACTGGACTCCTGATAGGCTATGGGGAACATGAGAGGGTACAGAGTCATCCACACCCCACAGAAACTTCCTGGAAGGGCTGAGATTTCAGAGAAGCTATAGAAGCCTAGCATAGCTTGCCAAAAGGAGGTAGAAAGATTGTTGTTGCCCAGGAAGGTATGAGACAGCTGAGAGAGGAGGGTGACAGGTCCTGACAGGTATGCAATCTGCATTTAAGACAGAGCCACTTTGGGATAGCATGTTGTTCTGTATGGGTCGAGACCCATTTGCAAACAACCACAAAAAATGCCTGGAAAGACCGCATTTCCATGTAACTGGCTTCTGCTCTATTCTGTATTTTATTTATAATGCATGAAATATTATCTTGAAAAGAATCTTATCTAATAAAGAGGAAATATGAAAATTGGCCGTCATATCGTTACAAAGATGGCGGCGTCCACAGCGGAGACTGAGTTCCCGTGATGAGCCTTAACGAGCAATCAGCAGGGACCTGAGGCTGCGTGGCGCTGGGCCGGGGCAGGCGAGCTGAGGTTGCACCCCTCACCCAGTGGGGCTTGACAGGGGACCTCAGGCCGTGCCCCCTGCCCCAGCACTGGGCCAGGGGACATGAGGCTGCATCCCCCTCCTGGTGCTGGGCCAGGGGACCTGAGGCTGCATCCTCCTCCTGGTGCTGGGCCAGGGGACCTGAGGCTGCTCCCCCCACCCAGCGGGGCTTGAGGGAGGATCTCAGGCCACATCCCCCACCCGACAGGGCTTGACGGGGCAATGTTAGGCCGTGTCCCCCACTGGGCAGATCTTGATGGGGACCTCAAGGCATACTCCCACCTAGTTTTGTCTGTTTCACCTTTAAAACTAGGAAAGCCAAAAGCCAAAAGTGGGGCTCTACTGGGGACCTCAGACCTCGTCCCCTACCCTGGTGCCGAGCTGGGGGACCTGAGGGTGCACTGGGGAACCTGAGGCTATGCCCCCCATCAGGTGGGGTTTGACAGAGGACCTGAGGCAGCTCCCTCTGCCTTGCACCAGCCTGGGGACCTGAGGTTGCACCCCCCACCTGGCACCAGGCCGAAGAACTTGAGGCCGTGCCCCCCACCTGGCGGGGCTTAATGGGGGTGGGGCCGGCCAGATCTGGATCTTGTCCAATGTGGGTAGGGCCCTCCGGGTCTGGGTCTTTCACGATTTCGAGGAATGCGCAGGGGGTGGGCGGGACTTGACTCTGGGCCCTGCGGGGCACCCCAGACTCAGATAAGAGTAATACTTTCATATACATTTTTTTAAGTTTCTTTCATCTCTGACACTTCTAGTATAGAGAAAGGGCAAGTAGCAATATTAAAATATCTCCTCTAATTAATTCCCTTTTAATGTGCATGAATTTCATGCACCAGCCGCTAGTAACTAAATAAATAACTTCTTAAAAAAATATATATATAAAATTTGTCTTAGCAAGTGAGTAGATGGCACAAAAGGCTAAGAACTGGTGACCTAGGGATAGGGTATGCAGAGAATATAGGCTGTACACACAGTAAAATGTGCCTCACTCACTGGAAGACATTGGATGTTCTTTGTATGGGAACTGTCTAGAATCTGACTCCAACCTCCCTTTTGATATATTTTATTGATTTCACAGAGAGGAAGGGAGAGGGATAGAGAGCTAGAAACATCAATGAGAGAGATACATCGACCAGCTGCCTCCTGCACACCCCTTACCAAGGATGTGCCCACAGTCCATGTACATGCCCTTGGCGGGAATCGAACCTAGGACCTTTCAGTCCTCAGACCGACGCTCTATCCACTGAGCCAAACCGGTTTTGTACCAACCTCCCTTTTGAATATATCACCCCATCTGCCATACCCTCGCTCTCCTTCCTGAATTCCATTCCCACCAAATGGCTTCAAAGGCTCTCAGATAGATCTGCTGCCATCCCTTTTGGTCCCTGCTCATTTATTGATTAATCTATTTTTGTGTTCATTTGTTGTTTTCTTTCTGCCAGGAACTGAGCTTAGTATTAGGGACAGAGAAATGAACAGAACATACCTCCCTGTTCTTACAAAATTTCTGCCTGCTGCCAACAGAAAGTCTATCCCTGTTGGGTATTTCCCTCAACCACAGTCTCTCAGAAAGGCTTTCCCAAAGCCATCCCACACCTGACTTCCTCCTCTGATGACACTCTTGTTGTCACCATCCTTAGCAGCAATTGTGTAAGTTTTGCAGGAATGTCTGGGTCACAGTTGACTATTAGACTTTTCAGACTCTTGTAATTAGATTATGAAAACTTGTTTTTTTGTTTTTAGCTTTAAATCATTAGGCACTATTCTTTTTTAAAATATATTTTATTGATTTTGTACAGAGAGGAAGGGAAAGAGATAGTTAGAAATATCGATGAGAGAGAGTCATCGACCAGCTGCCTCTTGCACACCCCCTACTGGGGATATGCCCGCAACCAAGGTACATGCCCTTGATCAGAATCGAACCCGGGACCCTTCAGTCCCCAAGCTGACGCTCTATCCATTGAGCCAAACCGGTTTCGGCCGTTAGGCACTATTCTTCTTCTTTTTCTCCTCCTCCTCCTCCTCCTCCTTCTTCTTCTTCTTCTTCTCATTCTTCTTCTTCTTCTTCTTCTTTCTTCTTCTTCGTCTGTTTCATCTTTAAAACTAGAAAAGCCAAAAGATCTCTCTGCACTATCATAGATATCATCTGATTTTCAGACTGTGTTTTCAGTCAATATTTTATGCTTTTCAATTATTGATATTTTTTAAAAATATATATTTTTATTGATTTTTTACAGAGAGGAAGGGAGAGAGATAGAGAGTTAGAAACATGGATGAGAGAAAAACATCCGATCAGCCGCTTCCTGCACGTCCCCTACTGGGGATGTGACCTTGACAGGATCGAACCTGACACCCTTCAGTCCGCAGGCTGATGCTCTATCCACTGAGCCAAACCTGTTTCGGCTAATTAATTTTTTTTAAGCTTCCCAACCATATGGACTCGATCATCACATTGTCTTTGAATTTCTCAAGCTGTTTGGCATCGAATATTTTGCCTTCACTGAGCATTTTATTCCAGTTGACATAAGAGGTGACTCAGTTGGCTGTTTGACCCTCCACTCCTTATCATAGCCTGCAAAGTCGACTATGCCTTGAACCGCGGTTTTGTCCCATAACGAAGCCTGGTTCCCCTTCCTCCATTTCCCTGAGTGACTGTTGCTTAAAAAGAATCCTTTTTCGGTTTTAGTAGTAGTCACATCATTAGTTACTGAAACAGATTCCTATTCTGACTTTAAGCAAAGAAAATACATTTATTTACCAGTTGGTTCTTAGAATCAATGTAGAAACTAAGAATTAGGCAGGAGAAGCACAGACCAAATAACACCATGGGACTGGTCCTGTAATCACACCCTGCCGCCAAGAGGGCAACAGTCTGGACCCATATCAAAGTCCCAGTCCCAGTCCCAGATCACCGGACTCAGCTCCACCTGGGCAGATGGTCTGTAGACGCCTAGGAAAACACACCCAGCCCGGCCTGTGCAGCCTGCTTCCTCCCAGTCAGCTGAGGAGCCAGCCTGGCACTCCCATTGGCCTGAGCCTTTACCTCACCTGGGCAGGGCCCAAAGCCAAGCTGTTCCCACACTATATCTAGCTGTCTCTCCGAGGAGTCTGCACCAGGACCTGGGAAGTCCAGTGCCTTCCACTCAGACACGATGAGCACAATGGTACCCGTCCTGCTGTCGCTCCTGCTTGCTGTGGGTCCTGCAGTCTCCCAGGACACTCAGGACGGTGAGTTGGGAACCAAGGGCTGGGTATGGAGAATGCAGGGGAGGGAAAGAGTGAGATAGATGGGCTGAAGCCGGGATTCCCAGTGTACAGTGGGAATGGGTGTTCGAGGCTCACACACTTCCAGGAGCCTTTAGGGAGCCTCTGGACTCATGCTAAGTAAGGCCTTAAATAATTAGAATCTAAAATTCTTAGTAAGAAAATGAGCAAAACTGAGACCCAGACAAGTGAAGTGGCCTGGCCTGGGTCAGACAGCCAAGACAGAGCAGAGGCCACACAGGTAGGACTTTTTGTTCCTCCCTCCTTCCAACGGCTGGAGGTATCTGTCTGACTCTGAAGGAGAAAGACAGCAACTCCAAAAAAGCACTTGTAAAGGCATAGTAACTGGAGGATGCTTCTGGAAGCAAGCCCATTCCTTCCCTCTACAGCTAGACACGGCCAGTGAGCCTGGAAGGCGAGTGACAGGGGAAGAAGCCAGCTGGAGGGTGGGCAGATAGAGTCCGTTTTAGGACAGAGTCCTGAGGCTTTCTTTGGCATACAACATTTCATTGTGAAGAAATGTAGGCTAAACTGTGAATGTTAGAATTCATTACATTTACAAACTGTCAGAATATGTGTTTTATAACTCTTGATTATATTTACATTATTAATAACATCCTACACCAAAATCTGGTGTAGCTTCAGGGTTCCCCGGAGAAACAGAATGAGCGCCATGTACATGCACAGAAAGAGATTTGTTTGAAGGACCTGGCTGACACCATGGTGGGGGCTGAGAAGTCCAAAATCCGCAGGGCTGGTCAGCACCCTGGAGAGCCAGAGGAGAGAGGATGTTGCAGTCTTGGGTCCAATCTGGAGGCAGAGTGCCTTCTTTCTCTGGAGACTTCAGTCTCTTCTCTTATAGAATTCAATGATAGAGGAGGCCCATCCACATTATGTGTGGCAATCTTTACCCGGCATCTACTGAGTAAAATGGCAACCACATTTAGAATTAGCAAGAATAACTAACAAATATTTCCCCCCTCACATTCTTTATCTCTTCTTTTCTTCTTTCCCCTTGTTACTTTATGCATTTGAATTGTTTTCATTCTTCGTCTCCTTTTACCCTAATGTTAGCAAACTTTCCATATACCTACATGTGTTTTTTTAAATATGTTTTATTGATTTCTTACAAAGAGGAAGGGAGAGAAATAGAGAGTTAGAGACCTCGATGAGAGAGAAACATCAATCAGCTGCCTCCTGCACACCTCCCAGTGGGGATGTGCCCACAATCAAGGTACATACCCTTAGCTGGGACCCTTTAGTCTGCAGGCCGACACCCTATCCACTGAGCCAAACCAGTTAGGGCTGGATACTTTTTCTTAATTTGAAACTCTTTCAGCATGCCCACTGCTTTTCACATTTCCTATACCAAAAGCATCTTTTCAATGTTTTCTAAGTTTAAGTTTGTGTAAAGAACAGTTGAGGCCCAGTTTTGGTATCATGAGCCTAGTTCATGTCCTGTATGTCCTACAACTGTCTCTTCTCTCCCATCCATTCTCCTTCCCCCCAACCCTGACCCACTGGCACCTTTCACCTTCCATTAGTCATATCTGTTTCTTTTCTTTTCTTTTTTATTAAGGTATTATATGTGTACATATTTTACCATTCGTATCTGTTTCTTTATAACTTCCTCCACCCTTCCTTACCTTATGCTTTTCCTTCCCCCAAATTTAAAAAAAGAAAAGAATAACTTAAGTACTGTAACTAGAAATCTGGAATATGACCTCTAAAATCAGTAACACCATCTATATATATAAAAGCCTAAGCAACCATCCGAAAGATAGCTATGACATGCAATGACCACCAGGGGGCAGATATCCTTACCAGTAGCTATGACACACACTGACTACCAGGAGGCAGACGCTTAATGCAGGAGCTGCCAAGCTGAAGTGACTTGGCACCTGTGATTCTTGGGTGATGCAACTGGAACCAGAGAGAAAAGAGCCCAATTCCAGGGGAGTGAGGGTATGGCAGATGGGGTGATATATTCAAAAGGGAGGTGGGGACCCCTTGGGGGATGTTGGAGAGCCAGTTTTGGTCCAATCCCCTCAGGCTGAGGAACCCCACTGGTGCAAGAATCTATGCACCAGGCTTCTAGTAAGAGTTATATTAGAAATCCATTTTGAAATTTATTATGAAAATATCCCACAAAAATGCAGGGACAGCCCTGGCATTTCTGAGCTCCATCCTGTTCTTACCTTATGCTGACCCATTCTAGGTCATTTCCTGAGGTTTCTAGTCAATTCTCCTTCCTACACTTTCTGATTATAGTGTTTGTTAGGTTCAACTAAGTTATGTAAACATGGAAACAGAACAGACAACATTCTTGTCTAGACTCAAGGGCCCAGGTAGTCCCCATGTTGGGACTCTATTTTATCCTGTGGCCTCCACAATCGTCACCTAAATAAAAGAGAGACAGAGGTTTCAAACCAGCTCAGAGGGCCTCCGACCAGAAGAAATAAATCACTTCCACCCACATTTCCTTTTGACGGCACTCAGTCATGGTCCCAGGATACCTATAAAAAGGCTAAGAAATGTCATCTTTTGATGTGCCAAGAGAGAACACACTGTAGTGAAACCCAAAATGGTCTCTGAAGTGTCATCCCCAGAATGGAAGTAAAGCCCCTTTTCTCAAGTGAGCGTCCAATCGTGCCCGCCAGCCGCAGGTGGAGAGAGCTGTGGAGGAAGAAGCCTAGTGCTCAGGTCTCCCTTCCTGGCCCTCTGGCGCCCCCCATGCGACTCCCCTGCGTGGATCCCACAGCTCACTCTTGTCTCCTCTTTTGCAGGGCCTTATTCTCTGACCTACCAGTCCAGTGGGATCTCCGAGCCCAAGGAGGGCTTCTCCAGTTTCCAGGCAACTGGCTACCTCAACGACCAGGCCTTCTTCCACTACGACAGTAAAAGTGAAAAAGCTGAGCCCCTGGGCCCGTGGAAACAGGTGAAAGGAATGGAGGACTGGGAGGAACTAAGTAAACTTCAGAAGGCCAGGGGGGACTTCTTCCTGAAGAACCTGAGAGACATCATGGGCTACTACAAGGACACAGGTCAGTGGACGATGGGCTGCTGGGGTGGGCGGTCTTAGGTCAAGAAGCAGGCCTGCAATTTTTGAGTGAAAAGGGGTCCGCAGGCTAGAACTACTCCCCATGCCAAAGAAAAAGCAGGACATTTACAGAGATTTACAGACATTTCTTCATCCCCCTCTCCTACATCACAGCTGCTTTTCCTCCTTCCCCGTCACTCCCCACTCCTCACTTCCAGGCCTCAGCTCTCACACCAAGTGCTGTCCGTGTCAGCCCTTATGGGCACATCTGTCCCTTCAGCTCCACACTCCTACCCATCTGAGGTGGATGCCACGTTAGAATGCTTCAGACTCACCCCATCCAGGGATGTTGGGTGAGGAGTGAGCTAACCTCGGGTCATTCTGGTCAGGGTTCAGGTTCTAGCTCTGCCAGTCACTAACTGTTTCACAGGGAACATGTTCTTAATTATCTGCTCTGGCTGAAACCGGTTTGGCTCAGGGGTAGAGCGTCGGTCTGGGGACTGAAAGGTCCCGGGTTCGATTCCGGTCAAGGGCATGTATCTTGGTTGCGGGCACATCCCCGGTAAGGGGTGTGCAGAAAGCAACTGGCCGATGTTTCTCTCTCATCGACGTTTCTAGCTCTCTATCTCTCTCTCTCTTCCTCTCTGTAAAAAATCAATTATATATATATATATATATATATATATATATATATATATATATATATATAATTATCTGCTCTGAATCTGCCAAAATTGGAGCATTGAGTCCTGCCTCCAAGAGATTTTTTTTTTTAATTACCTAGAGCCGAAACCGTTTTTGGCTCAGTGGATAGAGCATCGGCCTGCAGACTGAAGGGTCCCAGGTTCGATTCCAATCAGGGGCATATGCCTTGGTTGTGGGCACATTCCCACTAGGGGTGTGCAAGAGGCAGCTGACCAATGTTTCTCTCTCATTGATGTTTCTAACACTATATCCCTCTCCCTTCCTCTCTGGGGGAAAAAAAAAAAAAATCAGTAAAAATATATATTTTTTTAAATAAAAAGGTGCTTCATGGGACTAGATCTATCCACAGCCCATAGCAATCTGAAATTCCCTGGTTGGGAAGAAAGCATCTCATCTCAGACTGGCCTGAAACACCAAAGCATACTAAGTTTCTCGCTCTATGTCTGGCTAATAACCCATGTGCCAAGATAAAGGGGTTGCATCTTTAGTTTGCAAAACTCTTTCTTCTTCGTTGCAAACTGTGCAGGAGTAAGTTATTAAGACGAAGTTGGTGCCAGGCTGACTGATTTCTGGGGGTTGGGCTCCATGCAGGGAATCACACCATGCAGGAAAAGCTTGGCTGCAAACTTCGGAATAACAGCTACGATGGGTCTGTCTGGACGGTTGCCTATGACGGGCGGGACTACATCAGGTTTGACACAGAAATCCCGGCCTGGATCCCCCTGCAACCAGAAGCCCTGAACACCAAGGTGAAGTGGGAGACAGAGGGCTCCGTGCACCGGACCAGGGCCTACCTGGAAGAAGAGTGCCCCCAGAAGCTGCGCAAGTACCTGCAGTACAGCAGGCCCTTCCTGGACCGGCAAGGTACTCCCGCCCCCATGTCCTCTCCCGCACCAAGCTGAGAAAGACCACGGTGATTTCAGGCTGGGACCTCAGGGGAACAGTTCAGGAAAATCCTATAGTCCAGTGTTTCCCAAATTTTTGACATATGTGTACCCCTTCTATAATTTTCGTAATGCTGAGTACCCCTCGTACTCATGAGAACGTAGAATTAGGCGCAGCTAAGCACGGTGCAGTGCATATCCCCACCAAACTCCGGTGCAACGTGTACCCCCACCAAATTCTTCTCATACCCTTTGAGGTACGTGTACCACACTTTGGGAAACACTGCTTTCTCTGTGATATGCCGCTTGGCTTGGCTGTGGGGCAAAGGCAGGGGTGTAAGATATCTGCCCAGGAAGGATGGAGATGAGTGAGTGTGAGCAGGATTGGTGGACACAAGCTGAGACCTCGGTTTAAGAATGAATCAGAAAGAAGTTCTTATGGGAGGGAAGAGGATAGGGTCACAAAGACACAGCAGCAGGCAGACTGGGGGAGGCAGGAGCCACAAAGCCCATTGGGAGGCTTGGGGGCGGGGAGGAGACAAAGCAAAAACATAAAAACATGGGGCACTGGCATTTCTTGCCATCAGAAGTCAATCCACAGTGGGTGGGCAGGGGTGCTGGGAGGCAGGGAAGTAGCCACAGGCATTCCTTTATCCAACAGGGGAGGTTCGTGGAAAGCCTCAGCTTCCCTGATCTTCTGGAAGTTTCCTGGGGAGGCAGGTAGAAAACTGAGAGCTCTGCTCATCCCTGACTCCAGGGGTGGGGGAAATGTCTCCTTCAGACCCTCAACCTCTGTGCTGTCTCTCTCCACAGACCCTCCCTCAGCCTCAATCACCAGCAATGTGGACCCAGGAAGCATCAGGACCCTCAAGTGCCTGGCCTCCAACTTCTACCCACAGCCAATCAGTCTGTACTGGACTCAGGCAGACAGTGTGGTGGAGACTGACTCATGGGGAGAGGGTCCCATCAGTGAGAATGGCACTTACCAGTCCTGGGTGCTGCTGAAAATCCCCTCTTCAGACAAAGGCCCCTACTCCTGCCACGTGCAGCACAGCAGCCTGGCCCAGCCCCTCACTGTCCCGTGGAATGCTGGGCACTGAGCTGAGGCACTACCACGTTCCTCTCCGAACCCGTTATCTACTCAGTGAAATCTAATCACACTAAACAGTTAGCCTATAGGCAAAAATAAATCTGATTATTGTGTTGCTAAAATCTGTAAAGATGTCAGCAGAGATTATTATTCATCTTGCCCCCAAGCATTTGGATCATCTAAAATTCTTGGTATCCAGCAAATAATCCACTTGAAAAGCCAAATTAAAAAAGCAACTCATTCTTTCCCTTATCCCCTGTGTTACTAAAACCCTTATCCACCTGGAGGTTTCTCTAAGTGAAGAATCCATCTTACATAAAAACTGCTGTTTGAAATGTTAACCAAGAGTCTTGGAACCAGGGGATCAGTGGGCAGCAACAGCTCATCCCAGGCTTGCCCCCTGCACCTGTCTCCAAAGCCCCATTTTTCTCTGACTTCCCAGTAAGCTAACAGTATCCTATCTTGGCTCAATTCTTTTACTGTGACTTCTGTTTCTCAGTGAGCCAACGCAGCCCCACCTAGGCTCTCTCCTGTTGCTTCTTTTACCTTACGGCCTTTCTTGGTTTCATTGTCCTCAACTTTAACAAACGTACTCTCAAAATCTCCTGGACTTGTATTGTGAAATCTTTCCTGCACAAAGTCAAGAACCTACACACTGTCGAATCCGGTGTTGCTCAGCGAATAGAGCATCTGAAGGGTCCCGGGTTCGATTCTGGTCAAGGACATGTACATTGGTTGCAGACACATCCCCGGTGGGGAGTGTGCAGGAGGCAGCTGGTCAATGTTCCTCTCTCATCGATGTTTCTAGCTCTCTATCCCTCTTTCTTCCTCTCTGTAAAAAAATCAATAAAATATATGTTTTTTTAAAAGAACCCACACACTCCCTGCCAGCCCAAGGCAGACCAACCAGCTCCTGGGCCAGTCCCCATTCAGGAACAGAGTTACACAATGGTTAACAAGATTATGTTCTCTCTTGAGAGTTAACACCCACTTGGAGAAGTATTACAAGACGTATTAATCTGTATGCACAAGAACAATAAAAGGGCTGGCTTAAAACCTGTAACTAAGAAATCTATGGGGCTGGAGCATGACTATCTACCATTCCCACCTAGGAATTTAAGATCTGCTCCCCCTGTGAGGCTGCTTTCTACAGAACTCCTTTTTTTTCTCACAGGTTTACACCCAAAACAGAGCAGACCTCTCACGTGACTTTGTATTACCTTAACACCCTATGACAATTTGTTCCTTCCTGTGTGACAAGACCTTCCTACATCTTTCTGAAGCAGGAGTTTTAGGGGGATATAGGCAGGCTTGGGGATTTTTTAGAATTGTGTCCATGGAAAAAACACCGGGCTGAAGACTGGGTGAAGGTACATTTCCATAACACAAGGAAGCCAGGTGCAGTTATATCTCCATAAGACAAGGAAGCAGCAATAGGGTTTGTCCCTTAAGCCCAGGACTTACTATCCCCTACCTGGCCCCCATGGGTGAAGGAATTCACAAGTTAGTTACCAGACTAAGGCAGTGATCGGCAAACCTTGGCTCAAGAGCCACCTATGGCTCTTTGGCCCCTTGAATGTTCTAAGGCCACTTCTTCAAAATAGACTCGCCCAGGACTAAAACCGACTTCTGCGCCTTGGCCACGAAGTTTCAATCACACTGTACCTGGTATTTTGTGGAAGAGCCACACTCAAGGGGCCAAAGAGTAGCATGTGGCACGCGAGCCACGGTTTGCCGATCACTGGTCTAAGGGAAAAGTGACCAATCAGAAGGGATATCAAAGCACCAGGATCTGCAGCCTTTATCAGCCATTGGGAAAAGGAACTCAGTGGGGCCCTTTCCCCTCCCTACTTGGGAGTCCGTTCTGTGGGACTCTTCCCTCTCCCCACATGGGAGTCTGTATTTGTTCTTCAATAAATCCCCACCTTTGTTATATTCCACTTCCTGTCCGTGGATTCATTCTTCGATTCTGGCGGATAAAGAATCCGAGTTCCAGTCCAAAAATTCAGTATGATTTTCATCCTAACCCTCACATTCCACATTCTTCCAGAGTCCCCTCTAAGCATAGCCACTTAAGGAAATAATTCCCTGACAGAATTCTGAGCTGATTCTCTTTTAAATCCATGTGAAATCCAAATTCCCCTTCTCTGGGGCAAAATAATGTCCTTTCAGAACACCAGGAAGACTTCAAGGAACAAAATACAAATACTGTAGAGGGAACAATGCAGTGATAAAGTAAATATTATGGCACTTGGGAGAAAAATTGTTTTAAAAACACATGACAGAATAAAAATGTCAGATCAATAAGGAAACCCAAAGTCCACATGAACATGCCAAGGCCAAGGCAGACTGGAATATGGGATCCACCCCACCTGTAAACAGGAGTGATGAGGCCTAAGTGGATGGAAGCCAGGGTCCTCAAAAAAACCCAAGTCCAGGCCAGGTGTCAGGGGAAAGGAGAGGCAAAGAAATACTCACACACCCAGAGAATCTTCCTGGGGGGATTCAGATATCAACGTGAGTGAAAGGCTCTAAGAGCTTGGCAAGCAGTAGGAAAATTGTTCCTGACCAGGAGGGTGTGAGACAGATAAGAAAAGAACTCAGGTGACCTGAGGTTGGGGCTTGGCTACAGGCATAAACTTCCAACACCTCCTGCCCATCCAACAAAGATCACCAACAGCTTCCTCTGCTGTTAGGCAGGACTAACTTCAAGTGAAAATTCAGAATGCCCCATCCCAGGACGGCCTTCTTGCCACAAACTATCTCCTTCTTCTTCTAATAATAATAATAATAATAATAATAAACAACTAAATATAGATGTGTGTGTTTTTTTTAATTGATTTTTAGAGAGATAGGAAGGGAGAAAGAGAGGTAGAAACATTGTTCAGCTACCGCCTACACAGCCCCCACGGGTAATGGAGCTCACAACTCAGACACGTGTTACTGATGGGGAATCGAATCCGTGACCTCTTGGTGCTTGGGTCAGTGCTCAACCACTGAGCCACACCAGCCAGGCAAACTATCTTTCTCTTAACAATTCCTCACTCACTTCAGGATAGCATATGACTCTGTATCAGGATCCCCCTGCTAATAGCCCATCAGCCCCCACGGGTGCATGGAGAAAAACTGTGTTTTCATATAAATGACTTCCTCATGATTGGATGTTTTATATCATGCATGAAAAGTATATAGAAAGAAAGAAGTGGACCTAACCGGTTTGGCTCAGTGGATAGAGTGTTCGCCTGCGGACTCAAGGGTCCCGGGTTTGATTCCAGTCAAGGGCATGTACCTTGGTTGACTGCAGGCACATCCCCAGTAGGGAGTGTGCAGGAGGCAGCTGATCGATGTTTCTCTCTCACGATGTTTCTAACACTCTATCCCTCTCCCTTCCTCTCTGTATAAAATCAATAAAATATATATTTTTTAAAAATAAAGAAGTAAATGAATAAATAATTTCAGAAAACTAAGAAAAATTAAAATTTCTCTTGGCAAAAAAATAGATGTCACCAAAGGCTAACGACTGCTGAGCTAGTTAGATGAGATATACAGAGACTATAGGCTGTTGGGGAAAAGAAACGATAGTGAAATGTGACTCATTCATTGGGAGGCATTTGCTGTTCATTGGATGAAGAAGGCTCCAGAATTTCACTTTAGTATGCCTTCTGAATACATATCCCCAGACCTGACCAGCCCCTCAATCTTTTTCCTGAACTCTATTTCCACTAAATTCACCTCAATGACTCTCAGGTAGGTCTGGTGGTGTCTCTCTGCTTTTCAGAATGTGCTTTCAATCAATCATTTCTGCTTTTGAGCTTGTCTTTATCTTCAATTCTTCCAGCGTTTACATCTTCAACCATCCCAGATTTAGTCCTTGAATTCGCAAGTCCTTCACATGGTTGTATGGTAGTAGCCTATTGGGAAGTGAAATTCTGCCTTCAATGACCATTACGTTTTGTTAACAGCAAGACATAACTACATCTGTTGTTTAACGCTTCATACAGTGTCAAGGCCTATAAGAACGGCCCCAACATATCTGTATGTTCACTGCTTCTAGTCCCAATATGGCCCTTTATCTAGCCTGGTGCCCATTTCCCTGAGCAACTATTGCTTAAAAACAGTCCTTTCCCAATTTTGGTAGCAGTCCCATCATCATTGTTGCTAAAATGGATTCCTAATCTGGCTTTAGGCTTTTGGGATTAATTTATGAAAATACATTTATTTACTGTTTCCTTCTAGAATCAGTGGAGAGATTGGAAAACCCAGACACAGGATTAAGCAGGAAAAGAAAAGGCAAATCACGTCCTGGAAGCAGTCCTATGATCACATGCTGTTGCCAACAGAAGCAACCGATGCCACAGTGCGGAACAGCGATAAGGTCCCAGCCCCGGATCACTGGCTCCCTCTCCATTGGCAGACATCTGTACTCTCCCTGGACACAACATCCACCAGGGCTGCCCTGACATCCTGTTTCCTCACTGTCAGGAGAGGAGCCCATGCTGGCACTCTCACTGGCCTGTGCATTCACCTCACCTGGCTTGGGCCCAAACCTCAGCCAGTCCCAAAAGGACACCTGGCTCCCAAAAGGACACCTGGCTCTAGCTCCAAGCAGTTTCTCCAAGCTCCTGGATCTGAGGAGCCTTCTGACCAGGAGCCAGGAACACAGTGGTGCCCATCCTGCTGTCCCCGCTGCTCCTTCTGGGTCCCAAAGGCCCCTGGACACCCAAGCCACTGAGTGTGGAAGCAAGGGCTGGACATGGAGGAGAAGGGAGAGGACATGGTGATGAGGGGGACTGATGGGAGGAGGGCCCCTGAGGAAGCTGGAATCCCCAGGGCACAGTAGGAATGGCCGTTCAAGGCTCAACTAACTCAGCTCACACTCTTCTAGAAGCATTCTGGGAGCCAACATGGACTCATCGTGGAATCAGACCTCAAAGAATCATAATTTTAAAAATCTGCCGAAACCGGTTTGGCTCAGTGGATAGAGCATTGGCCTGCGGACTGAAAGGTCCC